GGTGGAGGGGGTGTTGTGGGGTTTAAGTGTCAGGACTCTGGAGCCAGGTGGGGCAGCCATGGTGGGGCTGAGGGAGCGGGCAGGAGTGACTGCTCACTGCTGTCACACCCCCACCATTGACACTGCTGCCACCGCCTGTTCAATTCAGAGGAGATTTGGCCTGATTCAGTGGCTGAATCTCTGAATCCGAATCAGCTGAATTGAATTGGGACAGTGATTTAAAAAAAAAAAAAAAAATCACTGAATCAGCTGAATCCAAAGCTGAATCGAATACTTGCTGCTTCACACACAGTGTAAACGCTGCCACTGCTTGCCCTGGTGCCACAGAACTGTATCTCCAAAAAAAGATCCCATATTGGGAATTTGACAGCAAGGTGAGCGACAGCAGCACTGACCCACTTGGTGCTGGCTCTGCTAACAGCAGCTCAGAAACCTACCAGGGTTAATACTGTTGCTATTCACCCCACTGACCAAATTTCTGGGCCCATACACCTGATGCAGAGGTGGGTCTTCTGAACCATAAGAAGCCCTGCCGACTAGATAACTCACCTTTGCAGGCCACAGCTGTATGTTTGACACCTCTACTATAAGGCCTTTCAAGCAGAGAGCCACAGAACTAAGGTATTCCAAATCACCAGTCACTTCTGAATATCTTGGCCTTAGCACTGCTTGTGCTGGAACATCCCCTCAGAGGAAGTGCCTATGGACAGCCAGGAGTGAACAAGATTAAGCCATGTTACCTGAAGTCAGACTGGAAATGGAGGCCGTAGCTGCTGCTGGCTTTCGTTTCCTCTTGATATCCCTTGAGCAAGGAGGTCCCAGATGTATATTTGTTTGTCTATAGAGGGAAGAAATCTGTTTAAAATCTATCCTAACACAAGCTTCCAGAAAAAAAGATACTGACCATAAAACCATCAACCCCCTCCCCCCAACCCCAACCAGCTTCAAACTATCTTGCCTTTATCCCAGGCAAAGTAAAAACCTAAGAACAGCAGAAATTCATTTGCATGGACAGATTCAAGATTTTGTAAAGAGGGATGCAAGAACAGCAATCAGTACTGCAGGGGGTGGCTGCACTCCTGTTTCCCCCTGCCCCCCACCTCCCCTGGGGTGGGCAGACCACACCAAAGGAATAGCAGAAGCTGAGGACTAAGTCCTCCAATCAGGTAAAAATCCCCCTCCTCACACCCTGCTCTCAGCATCCCCTCCCTTCCCCACTGTGTTCAGCAGCACATCCCCTCCCCTCTCATTTATCATCTCTTCCCTCATCCACCACTGCTGCTGTCCCAGGCTGACCTAGGAGTGGTGGGAGCTCTACCCTATCCCAGCCTGGCTGTGCAGGCAGTCAGGCTCAACCAGGGACAGCAGCTGGGTTCCCCAAGCAGTCTGGCCGAAGCAAAGCAGGAGCAGCTCTGGAGCTCTCTCTGCCCCTGGGTCAGTCATGGACAGCAGCAGCGGCAGGCAGGACAGAGGGAAAAGGGGACAAGAGGGAATGTGCTGCTGGGCATGGAGGAGAAGGGAGGGGGAGATTCTTACCTGATTCAGACTTAAAAAAAAGTCTCCAGCTGCTGCTCCTGCAGCATAATCTAACAGAGGGGTGCAACTCTGCCACTGCATCCCACTCTGGATCTGCCCATGCTCATTCATATAACCCCTCTGTATCCTCAGGACACACTTTTAATGTTTCTGATTTTTTCAGCAGCTCTGATACCAAATCAAGGACACATGTCTGGCCTGTAGATTCATTTCCAAAAGATATTAATGCTCTCTAAAGGTTCCCCATCAGTTATCAAAGTCTTTGCAGGGATAGGTTATGTGGTGGATACCACTTCACCATTTCTGTAAGGTCTCCACCAGTTCTGCAGAATTTAAATTTTCATTAAAGAGTACAGTAAAATTTCTTGCCTTTATGATTAATTTCATAATCTCCCCAAAACAATGCAAGTGCAGGGCTACCTTAGGATGCGCTTATATTATCAAATTCCGTGACTATTTTCACCACAGATATAGCTGAACCAGTATTCACATGAATTTAAATTTAAGCTTGCATATCTTCACCCTCAAACTGGTGAAAACACCAAATCCTGGTTTCTACTAACCCATAGTACAGCTTTACTGACCTAGCAACTATGCCAAATCCATAGCTCAATGATACAAACTTGCCTATTTACATCAACTGTTGGCCCTAAATTTCAGCTACTGCACTTGTCCAGAGACACCACTATCGTGTCTGAAAAGAGTGTCCAAGCACCTCAAATTTGCTTAAATCCACTTTTCAGGGGTGTAGGTTGTAGCCATGTTCGTCTAAGGACACAGGCAGACAAGGTTCTTTGGATAAATCTGATATCTTTCATTACACCAACTCAACTAGTTGAAAAAAATTCTTCTTAGCAAGCTTTCAGGCACAAACACACTTCATCAGGCTGAGGAAGTGTCTTCAGATGGTCTGTGACATTTTACACACATGCCCACGTGCTGGTCCTCTGAGGACCTACTCCAGGGCAATTTTCATTCAAATACATAGGGAGGAAAGGGGAGGAGGTATACCCACCCCCTGCATATTAGCTTAGTGGTTAAAGCAAGGCTGGCTAACCCACAAGAGGTATGGGTGGCACAAGCAGCTGCTGTGTGGCATTACAGCCCTGGATGCACCAGAACGGAAGCAAGGGGACTTGAGTCTCCAGCCCACACAAAGGAGCAGGAGCAGGACTGAGGGAAGGCAGGAAGCAGAGGAGTGGAGATACCTGCAAGAGGTGGTGCCAGATGTCACAGATAAAAGCCAAATTAACCCTTCTCTGGCCCTGTAGCTGCCCCTGAATTTAGGACTTCAGATCCTCTCTCACCATATAAAATTCTGGAGGCTGTGGGGCCAAGGAAGGGTTAACCTGGCTTTTGGCAGCAATCTCTCTTTTACAACAGTTTCCTGACCCATCTCCACTCCGTTTGACTGGAGGCTTGAGCACCCTCTGCCTCCAGGCTGGCACACCAGACTTTTATCAGGTATGTCTCTCAGAGGCAGGGATCAGAACAGCACTCAAGGAGAGGGAAGGGCTTAAATTATGACATATCTGCCTAAAAGGTAAGCCACCACTAGGTTAAACCATGTGCCCCATAAATGAGAAATCTGGACTTGAACTCCCACCTCTCAAGAAAGAGCCTAATCTACCAGGTTTGATGCTAGGCTGGACACATGGCACACATACTCTTCATATACCATATTGAAGTTGGGCCACTGGGCAAGAAGGCAGGCAAGAGTCAGATGTTCAGAGAGAAAAAAGGCAAAAAACAGGACAAGAGTGGGGAAGGAGTGGAGTTGACCATAGCCTAGAGAAGAGGACATACCCCTGGGAGCCCCCCTATTACAGTTCCTGCTTCAAATGCTTTTTATTTAATGACAAATGTATAAGAGATCCCAGGAGCAAGGACTGAAATCCAGGGCCCCCTTTCTCCTTAAGCTATATAGTCAGGCACCTGCACCAGTGATGACTTCCGCATTTAAGAATGGGCAGGGGTTTCAGGCTGTGAACCCCAGTCTCATGCAACCACCTAACTTAAGGTCGCAGGAAGGCACCTAACTACTGTTTCTGTCTGGAGGAGAAGTAGTATTTCAGATGCCCACTCCTCTTGTGTATTTGCTATTGCCTGCCCCAAGTGCCCCCCACTCTGCATTTTGCACTGTGAAGTGATGTTCTGGAATGTTCTTACAATTCAAGCAGCCAGGGTGAGGCACAGGAATTGCCCCAAGACGGTCTTGGTAAGGTTATGGAAAGAACAGTGCAACAGAACAAGGGTGTTCTTGGAGCAGCCATCAGAGCACGCGACATCAGATTTCAAGCATTTTCTATCCCCATAAAAAGGCATGATAACCATGCAGATTGCCGACATATGCAGGAGACGCCTGGTAAACCCATGCTTCAGGGCTTCTGCTAGTTACCTGCAAGGACCAAAAAGATCCCCCCCCCGAATATATCATTTGGCTTCTGGGGGTGCTTAATCTTCCTCCGAAGCACCGGACATTGGCTGGGGTGCATTAGTACTCCTAATGGTACTCAGTTCTGTCTCAGATTCTCGATCGGTATATCTTGTTCTGGGTTAAATGTACTGTCAGCTGTAAGCCCAGGAGATAATTTTCACTCAGGTCAGACTGGAAAAGACCACTGGAGTTTTCTGTCTCTCTCTACAGCAGGGCTGTCCATGGCAACCCATTGGCTGCAACAGAGCCTGCAAGGGGTTAACATCTGGCCCACAGGCCCTTGTAGCTTCCTCTCTCATTACTGTGCTGAGAAGGAGGGTCCAGGGAGCCGTGGGCTGCTGGTGCACCCACAGGGTTGGGGCTGGATGGCATCCTGGAGGCCCAGGCCTACAGCATAAGGCCTGAACCATGTGTGGCCCAGGGGCTGTACTTTGGCACTGCACATGGCCCCCACAATCAAACAGCTCTGCTCTACGGAGTGGGAATATGGCCCACTTCCTGGAATCATATAAGTGTATTTTGCCCAACAAATTCCCTGCCAGTGCAATGGCAACATTTATCTGTCCTGTTCTCCTCCTGTAGCACTGAAGGTTTCTAGGAATGTTTTTTGGAATTTTTTTTTGTTTTTAAGTCAGGTGCATTATGGCTGTAGAGTGCAAAAGGGGACATAGCAGATGCTCTTATGGACCCTCTGGACAAACACTCATTACAGAAGACTAGACTCAGTGACCCAGGCAGTCCTGTACAGTTCTATGAGATGTGTCTCCTGCATGAAACTAAAAAAATGTTATTCACAGGACAATTAAAAAAAGAAAAATTAAGTCAGGTCCCACTAAGGGCCCAATGTGTAAACTGGTCAGTTTTCTGAGTGCAGATCAGCATGAACAGGAAGCTGAAAGCTACTGAAAATTTGACCCAAAGGGTAAAGTTTTTCAGAAACGTTTGTTTAATGATTATGCACATGGATCAGGAATTTATGCATACAACTGGCTAACTGGACACTTAAGTGACCTCTGTACAAGCAAATAGCCAACTGTGAACAAAAAACACAGTAACAGTGCACAGAATCTGATATAACGGCAGCATATTTTTATGGGTCTTTTGACTCCAGGTGTCCATAAGAAATAAAAGCTTAACATTTTATAGCCTAAGATTTTTATTTTGCACCTTAGTGTCAATAAAGCAAGATGAGATTACTAGCTAGAGAACTATATGAAACAAGCTACAATACTACAGAAAACAAAATATCTAGCACTTCTATAACACTTTCTATCTTTACAACTGTGCAACCATTAACTAATTAATCCTCACAATGTTCCTGGAGAGGAGGTGGGCACAAGCACCCCCATGGAGGCAGAGATGCTAAGCAACTTGCCCTAACCCCCAGAAAACAGATATAGGAGATCCCAAGCTCAGCTCTGTGCACCTCAGTCACCTTTTTATTGCAATTGCAAAGAAAAAGGAAGACTCATAGTAGAGGAAATTTCAGAATCTCTCACTACAGCAACAGTAAAAGGTGGAGCCACTTTCCAGTTGCAGAAAAAACATGACGGTAGCAATGATGCCACATCTAGTAGCACAACTGCTAATATACAAAGGCTCAGAGGTCATAAATTGTCCTTGTAACATGTATTTCATTCAGGTTTATCCCTTATTGATCACCCACACTCTAGTTAGTAAATCAGGAACCTATTGATTACCCACTAACTTTGACTGACCTGGTGGTAAAAGCATCAATTTCAAATGCTCAGTGAACTTTACAGGCACTGTAAATCTGCATACAAGACATGCCAAATGTTGGGACAAATCTACACTAGTACGTGTATTAGCGTAGCAGAGAGCCTCAGCACTGCTCTGTGAATATC